TGCCTAGAAAGCAGGCATATATTTAGCATTTGGAATAAAATAAAAAAGTAAAGTTCCGGGCATCATGGACATTAGCAGGTAGTTGAAGCTGTAAGAATGGATGAATTCTCCAAGACAGTGAAGAGAAAGGTAAGTATTAGAGGACAAAAACTGAGGCAAAGAGAAAAATAAGTCAACAATAAAAAATGGGAAAGCACTAGGTCAAGGAAGTCCAGGAAAAGAGAATTTAAAGAAAAACAAAGACTAGTGTCCAAACCTTCACTTACACTGTCATTCACATTATAAAAAACTGATTAATGAGAACTGTAGTAACAAATATGCACAAAAGGACAGCACAGCATAATTCTGGTTCTTTTCCCTCTCTTTCACAAGTCCACTAATCCACCTCTACCGCTTATGAGGAAAATGAAAAGAAAGGTCATGCTCTTCGAGAAAAAACTGAACAGCCACTTATCAGGGTTCTTCCTGCTACATTATTTTATAACCACTAATATTCATTACTATTCCAAAAGGAAAAGCTGTTTTGTGGGCAAAATTAGGTTTAAACAAGACATTTGCCAGCAAACTGTTCTGAAGTCAGAAGATTTGGGAACCTCCATTACTGAAGAAAGGATCTAGTAAAAGAAATGAAGAATAAGAAATAAGGACAACTCTATATTTTGAGATTACACACATAAAAAATCTATAACTAGAGTACTGCACATGGCACATAATACATAATAAATATCAGTTAAATAAATCAACAAAGGTAAAAATAATAGAGAGAGAAAAGCAGCCCATGTGAAAGGGGGATGGTCCCTCCAAGTTCAGATGAGAAAGAGTAAAAAAAGACACTGAAAACAAGTGACCTAATAAGCCATTCTGACTGGGGACTGGGGCTTGTGGCCCAGTGGTAGAGCACTTGCCTAGCACTTGTGAGGCACTGGGTTTGACCCCAGCACCACATTAAAAAAAAAAAAAAAAAAACTAAACAAACAAAATAAAGGTATTATATCCATCCACAACTAAAAATATTTTTTTAAAATACTATGCAAGGAAAATTTTTGCTAGAGTGATATGGTAATAAAATTTCAATTGCACCTTTCAATAAATAGCTGTGAAACCAAACAGAGGGGCCAAGATGATGAGGAAGGGGGAGTAATCAAATCTGTCCATTAACTGTTCTCTTTTTCAAAATGTTCTTTAGAAGTCTTGGGTTCCATAATACCTAGCTGTTCTAACTCTGCCTGCTTGATTTGATATTACACACATAAAAAAACTAGAACTAGAATACTGCACTTGATTCCTTGATCCTCCTGTTTTCAACCTTCATCTTCCAACCTTGTTTCTAAGGTTTCTCCTTTTATCACTTGAGTTCATTTTAATTTGTACCTCTCTGCAAATGACTTCCAAATCACTCTTTTAATTATGAGCTCAATGCCGTATCTCCAATAGTCTACAGGTTCTTTCTTCATGGTTGTCCCACTAAACCCTCAAACACAACAAATTCTAAAACTGAATTTATCTGTAGGCCTATTATTTCTAAACAATTTCCAAACCTGACTTTGCGATTTTCACCATTCTCCCTATAATCCAGGCTCAACATTTTTAGAGTCATCTGACTACTGGCTCTCCTTTGGTTACCCCTTCTTCTCAACTCTACCAATCAAGTTCCATCAAGTCTTCCTTCCTCATTGTCATGCCCCAGTTTGGGGCTTCAATCATTTCTGGATTGTGGTAATGTAAAATCCCCCCAATCTCACCTTATCTTTAGTCTTTTTTACATTAGCTTACCTTACACACAACTGCCAGATTCATCTCTTCACTTATCCTCTGTCTGAGCACTCAAATCTTATAATCTAACCCCAATCTGGCCTTCCAATTTTATCTTCTGTTTCCCTAAACATGTCAAAACCAGTCATCTCCACTATGTATTTATATTATCCTACACCTCACTGAAGACCCTCTAACCTATCATCCATCATAAGCATACTTTGGCTCTCTCAACTCACAGTAATTTCTTCCCTTCAATTACTAAGAATGGATAGATAGATATTCTAAACAATCACTTGCAATTGATCACTTTTGTGTGTGTGTGGTGCCAGGGATTGAACCCATGGCCTTGTGCATGCGAGGCAAGCACTCCACCAATTGAGCTATAGCCCCAGACCCTGATCACATATTTTCTTAACTGTGAAGCCTTTTGCTTTGTTTCTGTGTATATGTGTGGAATTAATTCTTGTTTTCCTAAACAGATTGGACTCTCAAAGAAAGCACTTGACTTTTATTTCCTTGTATCTTTCACATCTCAAAATACCTCTGAGGTTTCTACCAAATGAAGTTTTAACAAGAGAATAGAAGACAATTAATGAGGAAAAAACACAACAAAACAAAAAGCCACAAATCCCTTCTTGTAACCCACTTCATAGAATAAGGAGATCAAAAAGCAAAACAAGGCTAGGGATGTAGCTCACTGGTAGAGTCCTTGCCTTCCATGTGATCCCCAGCACAGCAAAAAGCAAACCAAAATCTAAGATACAGAGAAATTTGATAAATATTAAAAGACCAATTAGATATAGAACACATTAAAGATGTGTTCTAATTCCTTGCATTCCTCTCATTCAATAAAATGTTTTAACTTTATTAAGCAATAATCTTCTCTACTATTTCTCAATCTGAAGAACTTCCATAATGTGGGCGAAACATTTTACAAATACATTACCCACAATACTCTTATTTTATAGTCAAGGATGCTTAGAGTAATTTTGAAAGCTTTGAGGAGAAAACTTACAGACTGAAACCACACACAAGTATTCAGTGTAACTGAAATTATGTTAATTTTAAACAATCTACAAAATTTTCCTCTGATTCAAAATGAGATGTTTTAAATGATATTTCTCTGAATGGCATTATTCTATTCCCTTAATCCCCAAACTGTGCCTATCTAACATTAATTCTCTGAAGACACTAAGATTATTTTCATATACACGCTCCCTGAAATTTTAGTTTTGAAATCATGATGTTTTGTTTGGTCTAACATCATATTACATATACTATAGTACTATAATATAATTTTTATTTTAAAAACTATTTAAAAAGTAAAAAGAAACTCATAAAAGAGTTTACAACTATTGGGAATGAAACTTCCATTATTTACAGGTAATTGTATATGCTAATATAGGATTTCGGCTTCTCATAAGAAGTTTTTTAGAATGTTTTAAAAGTTGACAGTGTTACATACAACACCATCAAGAAAAAAAAAAGCAGTTATAACATTTGTAAGGTATTTTTCCAATCAACAATGTTGTAAAAGACGCTAACACTGAAAACTTCCTGCAGACTCCAGACGCCTATGACATTTCAACTCAAAAATCACTTCCTCATATCCATTCTTGATTGTCACTTCCAAGTCTACACACTAAATCCCTAGCACATCTAAATCTCTGAATGGAACAGGAGTCTTTCCAACATGACTGTCAAACCGATCGGGAAGATTAATACTTACTAAAATTGCCATTCAAAAAACTATATACGTAGTGGCAGTAAGTGACGTGATAACGTGATATAAGGCTTGCAGCAGCAGGAACTACTGTGTCCTTTGTGAAGAACTGGGCCAGAACTAAAAGTTCAGAGAGCGCTGAGCAAAGAGCCAGTCGCAGAGTAAAAAGGGCCACACGATGTGGTTTTAGTGGTACTCCAAAAATTCTTTGGAAAACAGAAAATCTGGCGTTTTCCACGATGATTATGCATACCTGAGACTCTTGCAGTTAACCAGAATGAAAACAAGAGTGAGGCAAAACAAGCGGGACCCCAGGCAAGCAAAAGGGAACGAAAGGTGCCACTCACCAACAAACAATCCGAATTCACTTCCGACTTGGGATCCCGTAGCAGGTTGTCGATTTTTTCAAACCGAGTCTCAAAACTGTCCCCAGTCGACATGTTGCTGCTCCTGTGACAATACCCCCGTACCAGCACTAGCAGCGGAAAGCAATTTCAACCAACTTCCTCCGCCGTGGGTTCGCAGCCGCGGGGAGAAGGAGCCGGAACCTCAGGGTCACCAGGTGTGCCCGGCTCCCCCTCCTCCCCCTCACTGAGGGGACCTCGGTTCTCCACACCCCGGGCTGGGGGCGACAGCGACCCACAGCCGCCCGGACGCCCAAAGTCGCATCCCACCCGGCAGCCCCTCACGACAGCCGACAGCGCCGTGGCCAGCAGCCTCGTCGCTCCGGCCAGGCGCTTCAGCCTAGCGGGCCCCGGCTGCCTTCGCCATGGAAGAGCCCCCGTCCCGGGATGGGCAGGAGGAGGGAGAGCAAGAGCAGCAGGGTGGAGACTCCCTCGGGGCAGCCGGGGAGGGAGAAGAGGAAAGGCGAAAGCAAAGGGCGGGCGAGGAGCTGTGCCAGCTGCAGCCGCCGCTCGGGCCACGGGCCGGGCCCGCTCCGCTCTGAGGCGCTGTAGGCGGTCTAGCCTCGCATCCCCGGCTCTACTCAGCCCGGCCCGACACTCCGATCCGTTTCGACCAAAAACGGGTCCCCGTGAGACAGGCTCACTCTCTCATTTTGTCCGGTCGCTGCTAGGGTTGCTGCCGCGGTGTCCGGCGGGTCAGGGCGAGGTCCGTGCCCGATGAAGACTTAGGAGAGGACAAGCTGAAGAACCCGCGGTGAAGAAGACGAGAGTTGGGTCCCGGCGGCTGCTGATGGGGGAGCTTCTGGGAGGGGCTGCGGTCCCGGCTGGGAAAAGGGCGAGTCGCGGCGGCGAATGCCTGGGGGGTGGGGCGAGGGGGGCCGAGAGGGACTAATATGTCCGCCTTCCTGTTCAAACAAACGGAGACCGCCGACGCAGACTGCGCATGCGGGGCGCGGACGTTCGGAAGGGGAACCAGCCGGCCCCGCGCGCGCGCGCGCGCGCACGCTGGCGCCTCTCAAGGCGGGGCCGGGCCGGGTCTCGCCGGGCTAGGCGGGGCGGGAGGCGGGGTGCGCCTCGGGCTTCAGCGGGCAGGCGGGCGGGGACCGCTGGCGGCGGGGAGGAGCCGGCCGCTGCCGCGCCCGGGCCGGCCCTGGGGAGCCACGGAAGGCTACGGAGCAGCTGAGGAGGTCCGGGCCGAGGACCTTTGGCTGCTTCTGTTCGCCGACCTGGCAGCTGCCCCAGCTCGGCTTCCTGTGTGCTGCAGCGGGTCGGTAGAACTCAGACTGGAAAGAAAGGGTGCTGGTTACCCTTCTTATCCTTATCATGGCGATAAGGTTCTGTGGAGAGGGTAGGTACCAGCATCTTATTTGAGCACCAGTGGAGTTTGGTTGTCACTGGTGACTCCATCGTCCGTCCCCCGTGAGCCCCGCCGACTTCAGTCTGTGAACGGTGCTTTGGGACAATTACGAAGCACTCGGAGCATCCCAAGGCGAGCGAGCGTTGTGTTTCTGGAGCCTTTAGGCTTTGACTCCAAAAGATGGACTCAATAGAAGTCAAGTTCAATTAAATTTAAATAGAAAGGGGAAATAATCTCGGGGGTGGGGGGGGGCGATCATTCTTGAATCTTCGTTCACATTAGTTTTGTCACGTCGATAACCCCACTGTAGTGCTCTCCTGGGTGTGTAATGCTGCTGTTGTAACTTCAAAACATTTAGCGAAATTTAGAATGGTGATTTTATCAGAGCTAATGTGGCACCTGAAAATAATGGGCATTTCCTCCTTGTTGAGTTGCTTCATTGACTGTGGTGTGCGACGGTGAAAGACTGGTTACTCAACCTGCTGACAGTATTCTTTCCTGCTGTCAGCAGGAAACCAACCTTCATTTGTTTCTAATCAATCTTTGTTTTTGCTCATAGGTGAAATTAAAGGCTGCTCAAAATAGAAAAGTTGGAAGTTTTACCCTAAGCCGGAAAATGCTACAGATGAACCAAATGTTTTCTTATATTAAAAGCATTGCACAGCATCTAAATAGTCCACTGACCTCATGATGGGAGTCAGAGGTTAGAAAAATAACAGTGTTTGAAACATGTTTATTTCTATCATAATTTTATTAGATATGAGAAATGTTTAGATATAAGGGCTTCTTGCATAAATCAAGAAGCAAGTCTTCAGAAAAAATCATAGAAAAGAAGAAAACTAGAGACAAGCTTCAGGTATTTCATTAAAATGCTTTCACAGTGACTTTTCTTGGCCCTAGTATTTGAAGTCAGTCAGTCATGTGAATTAGATTTATTTTTAAGCAAAGGGCTTAAAATAAATCTGGCATTTACCCTAAAATAAATTTCCTAAACCCTGCTTGTCCTTTATTTTATTACCATTTTTAGGTATTCATAGGAATTTTGTTGTTTCTCAAATTGAACATTCTGTTGCTTTCCATTTGGTCACACATGAAAAAGTGCAGGTAGCTAAAACAGTACATAAGTGGCACTTATAAAGGTAAGCAGATGGCAAAGCTACTAGAAATGTATGTGAAGCCTACATTAACCTATGAGGCTATTGTGATGTTTGTAACACACTTCCCCTTGTTTTTTACTATTAGATGAACTCTGTATCAAGTTTGGGTTTTTTGATTGTTTTTGTGTTTAGAGCTAGAGTCTTCCTGTTACTAGGCTGGTCTTCACTTGCTGGGCTCAAGCCATCCTCTCTTTTCAGCCTCCCCAGTAACTGTACTATGGACACACACCACCACACTTGGTTAAATTTAGTTTTAAATAAAAATAAAAAGTCTCCTCCATTATAGGATGGTATCATCTGACATTAAATTCCTTTCCATTTAAAAAAATTCTATTGTTTAATTGTGACTAATCTCCTCAAAAGAATTGTAGATATTTGAGATCACCCTTAAAGTATGTTAAAACTCCTAAAGTACAATTGCAAAATACTGATGCCATGTACAAATATTCTTCATTGCTTTCAGTGTACGAACATTTTTAGAATAAAGTATTAAACATAACTTTTCTTTAAGGAGCAAGAGTAATAGTAGATGGTATTATATTATTACTATATAAGAATCTAACATTGTAAGCTGGGAATGTAGGTCAGTAGTAGAGTGCTTGCCTAGCATGTGTGAGGCCCTAGGTTCAATCTCCAGCACCACATACATGCCAAAAAGAATATAGTATTAAACATAACTTTTCCTTATGAGGCAAGAGTAATAATATATGGTATTATGCTAATTCAGTAAATGTAATATTATAGTACTGAATGTTTACCATGTCTAGATACTATCCATATACTTCATACATAGTATATCATTAAAACTTCAAAAAAGCTCTAATATGATTGGACCTTTGCCACAGATGGGAAAATTGGGGTACAGAGAGCCTGGAACAGAGAATCCAACTACAGGATCCCTCCCCAAAACTACTGATGTTAACACTATCCTGCTCTAATACAGGAACATGAACTTGTATTATTTTGTATTAACACAGTTTAAATGATTCCTTGTAACAGGGGGAATTCCAGAATTTGCAATGTGGTCAATATGATTATAGTCCCTAGAAAAAGATGTAAAATGTTTTTAGCAGGTTCAGAGTAAAGAGGCCTTGACAGCCAGGCATAATGGTGTATGTCTGTAATCCCAGCTACTCAGCTACTTACAGGAGGATTGTAAGTTTGAGACCAGCCTGGATAACTTAACAAGATTGCCTTACAGTGAAAAAGAAAGAAAGAAAGAACAGGAGATGGGGTTCATTAGTAGAGTACCCCTAGTTCAACCCCCAGCACAACACATGCAACACACAAAAGGCCTTGACAATGTTCAGTAACGCTGGATTGACTAGAGATTTAAACACTGGGTCCAAGAACAAGGGGCAGACCTTAGTGGAATTTTCGTAACTTGCAGCCAAATAAGAATAAAGGCACTTAATGCTTGCTTTAGTAGCATTATACAACTAAAACTGAAATGATCAGAAAAGATTATCATGGCTATGATGGTAAGATGAAAGGCAAAGACATGAAATGTTCTATATTTTGCACTGTCCATAAGATTATTTGACAACCCCCCCAAAAAAGACAATAAATTTTCATAAAGTTAACAGCTATAATTTGAGACTGTTCTTTAGTCTGAAGTTCTCTTTACTTTTTTTGAAATAAACATAATTTTTCTTTAAGGAGCATGAGTAATAGCAGATGGTACATTTTTTTTCTTTCTGTTTCTCTCTGTGTGTATGTATACCAGGGATTGAACCCGGGGCCTCATACATGCTAAGCATGCAGTCTACCACTCTACCTCCTCAAACCTTGGTACTTTTTTTAATAGTTGCCAGGTTAAAAATTGCAGAGATGGGCTGGGGATATAACTTATTGGTAGAGCCCTTGTCCAGCATGTGCAAGGGCCTAAATTGAATCCCTAGTACTGAAAAAAATATTTTACCAAGTTGGCAACTCTATGCAAATATATAGATTAAATTACTTATATTTTAGTTTTTCTGGACTTTTGAATTCAGAAACCTGGAATGTGTAGTTTAGATAAGACTCATGCTGGAACCTAATGAAGACACTACAGTGCTGAAAGAATATGACATATTTGGGAGAGATCATAGAAAAATTAGAAAGATTTAGATGTATACTTCCACATCATAAAAGACAATTAAGTTGAGCATTCGTTTGCTTTTGGTTATTTGGTAGGAAATAAACTTGGTTTAATGTTTATGGAATTTCTTTCATAAATGCTGATGTGGGAGCTATCTCCAAAGATGGCCCCCAGTGGACCATGTCTTGATATTCACACCCGGGTGGAGTTCCCTCCCACGCTAAATCTGGACAGAGGCCCTATGACCTCCTTTAACCAGTAGAATACAGCATAAATGGCTCTATGCCAGTATGAGACCTAATCTTTGAGAGTGTCTGGCAACTAACAGTTTTGTGCTGTGGGAAATCAAGCTAAACTGAGATCACCATGGTATGAAGAAACCCAAACTAACTGTGTAAAGAGATCACAGGAAGGACAATTGAGGAATCCAGCAGACCTTTAGAACAGAGACCCCAGATTTAATGGCCCATTCCAGCTGCCCCCAGCCTTTGATGGCACATGGAATAAGAGGCAAGCTGATCCCTGCAAGTACTGCCTACAGAGAAGAATCATGAACAATAATAAAATTATTATTGCTTTGAACTAAGTTTTGGGGTAGTTTCTCAGCAAAAGAAAACAAAACAGTTGGATTTCAGAAAAAAAATCAAGTGAATATGAAGAGAGATATATTGGGGAACAGCTTATACTTTTTTTATATAACCATTATTAAAGGGTATTGTTAAGGGAATGACAGATTAACTCACGTTAATATCTTTAGTTCAACAGACCCTCTGTGCAAAAGAATTGTAAAAGCTTTTTAAATAAATTAGGGAATGCGTCCATATTTTTAAAATAATTATGAAATTATATTCCCATATAAAGACTTTCTTTTTGTTAGTGGTGGCACTAGAATTGAACCTAGAGGTGCTCTACCACTGATCTATATCCTAGACCTTTTTTATTTTATTTTGAGATAGGGCCTTGCTAAACTGCCCAGTCTGGTCTCAAACTTTTTGATCCTCCTGTGTCAGCCTCCAGAGTCAGTGGAATTCCAGGTGTGTGCCACCATGCCCAGCTAGTGTATAAACATTTCTGTGCTGTCCCACAAACACTTAAAAAATGCAGGTATTTCCTATAAATTGCAAATCAATTGTTATTCAGTGCCACAAATTGCATGTTATTCCAAAAATGCATACCACAAATGTGTTAGGAATGTGATGTGGCTAAGTTCCTATAGAAACTTTAGCTAACATTTCCAAGAAAATATGATACTTATTATGATTAATATAACTTCCCAAAGGGCATTAAAAGTTTTTTAATGTAGAACAATTTTACTTGATTCTGAACAACTCTGCTCAACCAAAAATTGTGAGAATTTAGGTTCAATTCTGTTTCAAGAGGTTGGTTTTATATGATTATTATTTACCCCAAAGCATTTTATTTGTATATGTTTTCCAGGTCTAAGAAGTAAATCAGGAAGAATATGTTCTTTTTCTGAAGAGTATTTCATTTGAGCTGAGCCAAGATTGTTTCTTTCCACAGAATATTCAATCTTGGGAGTAAATGCATCTTGACATTTTTAGATCTACTACAGGCAAAGTTGGGGATGCGGCCATCTACAGCAAAGGAAAGTGTAGGGCACGCTAGGAACACAGAGCACCCTTAAGGCTTCTCCTGACTCACCCTGGAATGTCTTCCTCCAACATCTGTTTTTTATTTCTTAGAAGCTGCTATTCCATTCAACTGCAAAAATACTTGTAGTGACCCTAGAAATAGAATGGAGAAATAGAGAGAAACAGATTTCTGTAAAACAATTACTTCTCTGCTTATGCCATTGCCATCTTGAGAACTCTACTGCTACCAGCTCCAAAGTCCAAACATGCAAATGACTGATATAACTATTTATTCCAAGAATAGGAACTGTTATATTTGTAGAGCCCCTGAGAAGGTACGTGTGGGAGGAAAGCCCATGTAAAGGAGATAATAATAAATACACGAGCTGGTTACATAGCCTTCTCATTTTTTACAACAGCCGCCTATCCAGATTTTTTTCCTCCTGTCATGCCACTGAGTTCCAAGGCCAAGTGTGCATTCTGACCACTGCTTTTTAGATTTTTACAGCTTCCTCTTTAGAGTCCTTCAAATGGTAAATTGCCTTTTTTGGCAATGACAGGCTCTTCACCCAATATTTACTTCCCTTTTTTATTTGCTACAATTTTTATCATTCATCTCAACTTTAAACTTCCATACCAAACACCTGGAAATAGGAAAAATACTTGTTGCTGATATTACATCATTTTCCCCTTTCTGTCGTCATTCAAACACCTCCTGAAATATAACATCCTCCCTAAAATCTTTATAATTGGAATGGAGGCACCGATTCCTCATGCCTGCCCATCAACTATAAATATTACCCATATATATTTTATATATTATTTCTTAATAACTATGATACTTTATGCACTTTACCCCTTTTTTATTTGTGTATAAACACTGATTGGATTTGTACGTTGTATTTATGTTTTCTTCTTTGTTGCTTCATACATTCCCTAGGGCATAGGCCAGGACTTTAAAAGCAATAATCATGTTTTTCTTTTCATTATAAAAATAGTACATGCTTATTTTTAAAATTTTGGAAAATATGGAAAAGTAAGCAGAGAATAAAAACCACCCATATTCCCACAACCCAATTCCAATCACTGTAGATGTTTTGGTGGTTTTCTTTTAATATTTTTTTTTCTTTTCTGCAAACATGTGTTTGTTTTACATGGTATTTCTCCACATATGTGTATGTGTGTGGTGCATATGAGTTCCTTGTATACTTTATTCAGCTTAAATAGTCTTATATTTACCTAAATGTAATTTTTAATACCTGTGTAATATTCCATTCCAGAAATTTAGCATAGTTTCTTTAACCATTACTTTGTTCATCTGTAAATGGTGCTACTATCTAAAGTGTTTTTTTCTTAATTTAGAATTATTTCCTTAGAGGTGATTCTCAGAAGTGTATCAAAACAATTTCACACTTTTAATGTCTGTGTGGCTTTTATCATTCTCTCCCCAGCATTGATGTATCATTATTATACCTGAGATCATTGTATTAATTTTCATATGTTTGATTATGAGGTGGAATGTTTTTTCCATGTTTGTTGACTAGTTGTTTTTCATTTTCTATGCATTAATTTGCTTATGTTTTGTTCCTACTTATCAGTTGGTTCTTAAATTTTTTCTTATTGATTTGTATGAATACATATGAATATATGATACTAACCTTTGTTTTCCTAATTGCAAATTTTTACCAACTTTTTCATATTTTTAAAATTTTGAATGTATTTTTGACAAAAAAGAATTCCCCTTTTAAATTTCTGTCAAATATGTAACTTTTAAACGACATTTCTTTTTTTCTTTTTATGTTTAGACAGTCCTCCCGTCTTTGGAAAATTTGATATGTATTTACTTCTATTTTCTTTGTCCCCCTATGGTCCTGCCAAGAATAAGTGTTCCATATATTGTTTTTAATTTGAATTGGAATGTATTTTGATATTATTGAATATGGTGAGAATCTAACTGAACCGTTTCAAATGCTAAATAATTCTGTTGACTCCATTTATTAAACATCAGCCCTTTTCTTATTATGTTCTCTTCATTATCATACATAAATTGTTACACATAATGGTATTTATTTCTGAACTATTCTATTCACTCACACACAGAGAGAGAAAGAGAGGGGGAGAGAGAGAGAGAGTCATGTATTTCTTAAGAACAGAGCTGTATTCTAAGAAATGCATTGTTAAGCATTTTCATCTTCGTGCAACCATAATAAAGTGAGTACATATCACTATGTACTTCACAACACAGTATTATATAATCTAAACCCCAGCCCTATTCAATATAATCTAATGGGACCATCATCACATATAGGGTTAGTCATTGACCAAAACTAGTCCTCCTCTGTTATTTTTATTTTTAAAAAACTTCAGTTTTTACTCATTCTTTCCTTTTTAAAAAATTCTTGCCAAGCATGATGGTGCATGCCTGTAATCCCATAACTCAGAAGGCTGAAGCAGGAGGATAATAAGTTTGAGGCCAGTCTCAGCAAATTAGCAAGGACCTAAGCAACTTAGTAAGACCTTGTCTCAAAATAGAAAATTTAAAAAGGCTGGAGATGTAACAGTGGTAAAGTGCCCCTGGGATCAACCCCCAGTACCAAAAACTAAAATTAAAAAGTTCTTGACTAAGAATATAGCTCAAGTGGAAGAGCACTTGCCTAGCATGCTCAAGGCCCTAAATCAACCCCAGTCCCTCAAAAAAAATTCTTAATTATTTTTGCTTCCTATATTTTGCTACAAACCTTATACTTATATTCCTTTTCCCTCTGTAATGATTTGGATTTTGGAATAAAGAATTCTTGTTTTTCTGTGTGCTAATGATTACCTTGAAACATAAGCAGTGTTGAATATTACATGTATATAATCATACATTTAAAAATGAAATGTTTGACAGCTTTCTATTACAATGAGAAACTAATGTTTACTCCTATCAACTTTATCTTTCTCTCTTCTTATTTTAAAACCTTAGGATCTTTCAAGTTTTACAATGTTACTTCAGGTTTATAACAAAATTATGAATAATATTTAGATTTATTTTCATATAGCTTCTGTATTTGCTTCCTGTCTTTGTAGAGAATCTGTTTTCTCAAGTTTTAATTTTGACTCATTTTGAATGCTCTAGAGTAAAACTTTATTTCCTTGAAAACTTTTCTAGCCTGTTTTCTTTCCATCTCACTCTGTTTTCATCACATTTTGGCTGCTCTCTCTTTTTAATAGCTTGTTTGTTCTTCACAGGCTCAGGGTTTTTTATTATTTTAATTTTTTATTTATTCACAGAGTTTTTAAGGTTATAACATATCTAATAACATAAATCTTAAGTGTACAACTCAAGGGATTTATAAATATGTGTATACTGTATGGACACTATCCAAATCAAGAAATACAATGCTTCTGGCACTCCCAAACAATTTGTCATTCCTCTTTCTCATAACCCACCTGGCCTCCAAAGATAATTAATATTCGGATTTTTATCACCATATATTACTTCTGTCTGCTTCTGAACTTTATGGAAATGGAATCATACAGTATGTACATCTTTGTGAATTACTTTTTTGGTATTTATAGTGGAATTTTTGCATTTTGTGGTAAATATACCTAACAAAAGGGGCTGGAATTTAGCTCAGTGGTAGAGCACTTGCCTCCCATGTGTGAGGCACTGGGTTCAATTCTCAGCACCACATATAAATAAATAAAATGAAGGTCCATCTACAACTAAAAAACTACATATGTGTGTGTGTGTGTGTGTGTGTGTGTGCATATACGTATACACACACACATATATATGTAGTTTTTTAGTTGTATATATATACATACATACACACACACACACATATATATATATAATAAAATTTACTATTTTAATCATTTTAAGTGTATGGTCCAGAGGCCTTAAATACATGTACATTATTGTAAAACCATCACAACCACTCATCTTCAGAACTTTTCCATCTTCCCATATTAAAACTCTGTACCCATTAAATAATAATTCCCCATTTCTACTTTCCTTCAACACCTGGCAACCATTATTCTATTTTCTGTCTATGAATTTAACTATTTTAGAGTCATATAATTGACTATTTTACTCTTATAAGTGTAATCATACAGTATTTGTCCATTTATGTCTCACTCATTCCACTTAGTATGTATTCAAGTTTCATCCTGTACAAGAAATTCATTCCTATTCAAGACTGAATAATATTCCATTGTATTATATACTACATTTTACCCAGTAGATGAACGTATAGGGGTGTGTGTGTGTGTGTGTGTGTGTGTATGTGTGTGTGTGTGTGTGTGTGTATGCCAGCGCGTGCTTCTGGGAATTGGACCCAGGGCCTCAAACATGCAAGGAAAGTGCTCTACCGCTTCAGCCTCAGGCATAATTTTTTTTCTTTTACTTTTCTAAAATTTCTTCCTATTCTGCGGGAAAATCAGTATTAGATAAAGTCTTTTTTTCCAAGTTCTTAAATTCCTTGTCTTATACTGCTGATATCTTTTTCCATAGACCTCATTTCCCTGCCCTTCTCCCATTATCCCAACTTTGAATTAGAAGGAAAATATCTAAGTCCAGAGATTGAAAACAGATGATACAGTTTTGATATTTAGTTTCTTCACCATCTAAGATACTAATGGACTGTTCTTCTCTAATGCTCTGTGATTTGATATGCAGAGTCTCTAGTCTAGTGTTTATCACTTAACAGGAAAAATTTTGTGTAATTCCTTTGAAATGAAATAGAATTATTTCCTGATTCTCTATTAGAAAGAGGATGTATAACCTAGAGAATTTAGCTGTCTTTATAATTTAATGATATTGAGTGATGAATGAAAACTCCTCCAGATTCCTCTACCTTTACCCTCACATGAAATTCTTTACCTTTGAGAAAACTACTATAATCCCAAGAACTGCATTCTCTATCCTAGCCTTATTATACACTGGGAATTGTTGAAACTGAATTAGTTCAAAAGGGCTGTTAATGACACTCTGACCATTCAGATATCTCTTTGCACACAATGAAGGCCATGGCTACTAGCTTTTCATTAATAAAGCACTGTATTCCCAAACTCTGGATAGACAGTAAGGGAAATTGAGAAAAGTTATGACGAAGTTCTTTCTTTTTTTAAATTATATATATA